TTGGAATACTGTGCCAGCAGTAGATTTTAGCTTCTTCTCCTTTTGTATAAATGTTTGCTGGACTCTGGTGGACTTGGTCACGTAAAGAGGAACCTGTTAGACAGACATCAAATAAAAATAAAACATACTATCTTGTGTAAAATATAAAATCCAGCAATACAGCTTGTAGCACTCTATAATACTGTGTACATACTGAACATATTCATGACATTACCTGAAACTAGATTATAGTTTAAATAGATGCTTAGGAGCAGAATAATCATGATGCTTTGTGATGAACGATGTTCTCAGTTGTCTTGATCATTTCCAGTCTTCTGTGTGAGTAAATGTTTATAGGAGGAAACCGTCATTCATTGGGTGGAGTCTCAGTAATCCTCAGGTTATTATTAGAATAATTCACATGAGTAAGTCTGACTAGCGATATACTGCCTCCTTCTGAGAGGAAGTGTTACAGGTGTGAGGGGCTGTGAAATGTGTACATAAGAAATTAAAATTGATGATTGATAAGTTTAAAGAGCATTACCGAGACCAGCCTCATTCCTCATAAAAATTAACAAGGAAAAAAAAAAAGAAAGCAAAACAATGTAAATAAATAAATGTTTCAATGTTTTCAACATCTGAAACCACAATGACTTTAAAAACTATGTTCAAGAAATTATCATGATGATTTAAGTTTGTTTTTTGATGCTAGACAACAGATCTAAATGAACACACAGCTTCAGGCTAATAGAACGTCAACAGTAATTTAAATAAGCTTGTCATAACCATTTCAGAATTCACAACATTTCATACCTTAAAGTTGATGACTACAACAACAGTAGAACACACTGAATTGTATGCCTGCTGTTAAAACAGGAAATTGAGGCTACTATTTACAGAGACTTATCAAGATTGGAAAATGTTGACTAGTCTGAGGAGTCAGATTCAGATGATAGTCAGAAAAGATGTATAAACAACATGTATATCCACCCTGTCTTGTATTAATAATTCAGCTGGACAATGGTGGTGTAATACCAACTGACTATTGTTTAAATGGCCTATCCTACCTAAGTATTGTTGCTGCCATGTCCATCCCTTTATGACCACACTCAACCCATCTTTTGATGTCTGCTTCCAGCAGGATAACACAACATGTGACAATGCTCCAATCACCTTAAACTATCAATATGTGTGACATATGATATGTGTGGGAATTTGTGTCATCATTATACCATCTTCAAATAGATCGTTTTGTAGGTTTCTTTTAATAATGGGATGTGACACTTTTTAAAAGTTCCGTTATAATATCTGATCTTTGTGAGACCAACGTTGGTCATGTCTGATTCCAGGTGTAAGTGGCTGCAAGCTGCCAAATTTTTAAAATGTGTTTGATAGGTTTTTGTATTGAGGTGCAGTGATGTGCAGCACTGTGGTAACTAGCTGCACAGAAGTACACTCCACTGCTGCTTAGTTTGAGATACTTAATTGTTAATGTGCAGTTCTTGTGCTGTCTTGCATCCCCGTCCATTGTCATATTTACTCCAGGTTCTGGATAACTCTTATCATAATTCGTGTATCCAAGCAGTTGCAGCTGTTTCTCTGACTTCTTGTACCAGAGGATTGTGTAAAAGTTTGGATTACTGTGTGAGCAGTGGATTTTAGCTTCTTCTTCTTTTGTGTAAATGTCTGTTGGAGTCTGGTCGACTTGATCACTGTCAGAGGAACCTGCTGAACAGACATCAACCAAAAGGACCACACAACATATAAGAACAAGAATAAATAAAATATAAATAAGAATAACACATGTAAATTATAAAATGCAACTATAAAGCTGAAGTTATCAGACAACAATATATTAAACATATTCATGGCTTTACCTGAAACCAGAAGTGAATTCATCAAATGTATAGCTACAAGTAGAATAATCATGATGGTTTTGCTGTTGAAGATGTTTCCAGTTGTAAAGATCTTTTCAAACATTCTTTCTGAGTAAACTCACTTTCAAGCAAGGCATCATTCAGCAGGTGGAGTCTTATTATATCCTCAACTTAATTGTGTAATTGTCAGTGTGTTAGTGATGAACATCACACTACTGGTTCAGTGTAAAAGTCAAAGATATACTGCCACCTTATGACAGGAAATGTTACAGGTGCATGTGGCAATGAGCTGTGGGAGGAGATGAAACTTGTGTTTGGGAGGATTACGTGTTGATGAAGAGTGATATGAAGCACTGTGGTAACTAGGAGCACAGAAGTAAACTGCACTGCTTTTTGGAACAGGTCCTTCAGTTGATCACATGTAAGTCGGTCCATTTGTTTCAGTCCCATCTATACAGGAACCATATTGGTTTGAAAACAAACTGCTATAGTGTAGGTTGATAATGCTACAGTCATGTCCATGAGTTGTTAGTGACACAATTTTTGCAATTTTGTCTCCGTATACCAGCAAAGTGGATTTTAAATACGCAACATGCAAACTTTCAAAGGTTTAACAAAAGAAATGTCCAGAGTGTCCAAATCAATGCTCTGTTTCACGTTTAGAAAGAAGAGAAGGATTGGTCTGCTCCACAACACAAATAGGCCAAAAGACCACAGA